CTGCGCCCTTACTGTGTGTTAGTCATTGCTGATGTAGAGCTGAAGTGAGTCTGTGCTTTCTGGTTGCTCAGACAGTCTGCCTTTTCATGCCTTCACTCCCTAACTTGCAGAGTGGAGAGAGGGTTTGGTTTGCAATAAGGCTGGGCCTGGGAACTCCGTGGGCTGCCCACAGCTAGGATAGTTCCTGTCCTCTCCAAATCCCAGAGGGATGTTCAGTTTCTGGAGGAGGAAACACTCATCAGCTGCAGACAACACCCTCCTGGGGCCAAGGGAGTGGGGGAAGGGCCAAAGAGCTGACCCTTAGCCCAGCCTCGGAACTTTGAGTGACCCCCACCCCTCCCTCCTCACTGCTCAAGAAAGAAGCCCAGACCCACTTGACTAGGGCTGGATTTGGGGGGAAATGGGAACCATGAAACAAGCTTCCACCAGGACCTGAGCTGCACCTAAGGAAAATAGTGCTATGGCTAGCACTTGAACTTGGCCCCTGTCCAAACACCTGACACTATCTTTTAGCTCATCTTCCCATAATACAAGTCGGGTTCACTAATCTTTGACTTACACATTGTGCTGCTACAGGAAAATTATAACCACACCATCCTTGCTTTCACTGATGAAAGCTGGTCTATCATGTGCTTAAGGTCATTCCCGCCCCCCCCCCCCCCCCCCCCCCCCAGGTTGTCTTCTCTTTCTGCACTCAGCAGAACAAGATCACACAGTTGGCCTTGACCCGTGGCTGTGCTCAGATAAGAAAGGCTTAACGTGCTGGAAGATCTCTCACAGCTGGTGATGGTAATTCTTATGGTTAATAGAAACTGCTCTGCGGCACCTGGCTTCAAGCAGGGCCCAGGGTGTGTGCCACACCTGCCATACCTGAAATATGCCCACCCTCCTCTTCCTGATCACAGAATGCAGGTAGTGTTATCCTATCTGGTGGTCCAATAACTACTAAGTGCGTGGAATGGGCTATCGGGGAAGAATTGTGCCTCAGCTCCCATCCTCTTGACCATCTGCCCCCCTGAACACTGCCCCTTAGCTTGAACCCTGCAGGAGGCATCTGCTCTCCTCAGAGTGTGTGGCAAGGCTTTTGTGGGTGAGGAGAGGCAGCTGGGCTGGAGCAGAGCCTTGGGTTAATGGGCAAAGCTCAATTTAGTACCACAATTTTGTTCATTAAGAAAGCCATTTCATCTCTAGTGTTCCCTTTCCTCATCTGCTAAATGGGAACAGACATTCTCTCTCCAGGACTCAGGGACCTGACACCACATAATACACTTGTTCCCAAAAGAAAGTCATGCTTACTGTCTGGCCCTTCCAGACCCTTTCGGCCTGTGTTTGGCTCAAGGAAAGGAAGGAAGCTGGCAGAGGGCCTGGGATAGTGTTTATGGGGGCGCCTGCTCACCCCCTCCATCTCTCCTCTTCCTGTCTGGTCCCTGGGGCAGAGTGTCCTGGCTATTTCTGGCTACCTCCTCCTCAGAGTCTCTGGCTTCCCAGGCTTATACAAGTGGCTTCAATACCCCAGCCCTGCTTTGAAGACATGGCCTGGGTGAAAGTGCCCTGGCAGGGGAGGCACTGGTGTTGAGTTCACACACTCAAATATGAGGGTCCGTGCATAAATGTGTCTTAGGTGGAGGGATGGTCTCCTCTTCCTCTCCCCCTACTTTCTGCTTGGTCACTATGAATCATTCCATTCTCCCAAAGAAGACCTTTGGGTGAGGATGGGGCAGCTAGGTGTATCCTGGCTAGAAGATTCTCTTCTGCATGGGTCTGGCCTCTGTTTCACCACATGCCAAATGAGGTGGCAATAGGAGATAATCCCTTCCACCTTACATTCTGAGATCTAGAGTTTTAGGTGGTCACTGATGAATGTCGTGTGCAGTGGAAGGCATGGAGCGATCTTCTCCAAGCTACGTGTGGCTCTGAGCAAATACCTTCCCTTCTTTGCCTGGTGATCATTCAATGTAAAGAGTTGAATCATTTGAGTTTGAAGTTCTTTCCAATTGTGACCTCTGGGAGGAAGGTGGCTGCCTAGCATACGTAGCAGAGAGAGGCAGTATAGTTTTTGGGACACATGCTATAGAGCCAGTATGACTACATTCCCAGGCAAGCTCTTCTCCTTGATAGGCACATGACCTTGGACATGAGATTTAACCTCAGCTGTGATATGGGGCCATTAATAATATCTAATGCAGTATCCACAATCAATAATCTTGGCACCAGCATCCAGGAAATCAAAAGACAAATTGCATTAGGAAAATCTGCTCTCAGGGACCTCTCCAGAGTGCTAAAGAGCAATAATGTCAGTCTAGAGACTAAGGTGCACTTGAGCAAGGCCATAGTCTTCACAATTACTTGCTATATGTATCAGAGAGCTGGACAGTGGCTAAGGATGACAGAAGAAGAATCAAAGCCTTTGAGTTGTGGTGCTGGAGAAGAGTATTGAAAATACCATGAATCGCCAAGAGAACAGGTTTGTCCTGGAGAGGGTGAAACCAAGTAGCTTCTTGGAGACAAAGATTTTGAAGCTCTGTCTGACATACTTTGGGCATGTAGCCAGGAGGGACTAGTCCTTGGAGAAGAACATCATGCTTAGAAGGATTCGGGGGTGGGGGAATAAAAAGAAGGATTGAGGGACAACACAAAACAGAAAGCCCCAGGATGACATGGAATGACACATTTACTGGGGCAATGAGGGTAGGTGTGTTGGAGATAGTGAGAATAGCTCAGGGTTCGGAACTATTATGCACAGAGTCCCTGTGTGTTGCAGGAGACTCAGCATCAAATAACAATAATGCAAAGCGTTACTACAAGCAATAAAGAGCTAATAGCTATTAAATTGGAAAGAATAGTATCTTCTCATCAGACTGGAGCTCTAGCAGTATAGTCAGTTCTACTATTCCAAAGGCTGCCCATCTCCAGTGGTTTAAATCCACTGGCAACACCTTAGGAGAAAGAGAGGATGTCTGCTCTTGTTACAGCTTCAGAAACTATGAATTGTAAATGGCTAGACAGCATTTATCTGGTGGCCTAGAGGGTAAAGAGATGCACTGTCAACCCAAAGGTAGGTGGTTTGAATCTATAAGCTGCTATAATTCCCTCTCCTTAGATTTACAGCTTCTGAAAACTTGCTGGGAGGTCAACTATGAGTTGATTCTGACTTGATGGCAGTGAACTTGAATTTCTTTGGATTCCACTAGCCAAGGGCAGCTCTGGTGGCATAGTGATAACAAGCTGCGCTGCAATCCTGAAGGCATGTGGTTTGAATCCACCAGCTGCTCTCTGGGATAAAGATGGGCAGTCTCCTCCTGTGCAATTAAATGCCTTTGAAAACCCACTGGAGGTTCAGCTATGGCTTGATTCTGACTTGGTACGACAACAGTAACAACAGCCAAGGGCTGATAATTTGGTTTTGGCATAGTAATAGCTAAAAGAAGCCCATCTTCCTACCCACAGAGATGTGATCCACTTTCCCTCCAAAGTCTATAGCCATAAGGTAAGGGAGGAGTCGGAGGCAGGGAATAGATGTCAGTTTCCCAAACTCACACACAGTCAGGGAGAAAGTCCACTTACAGAGGCCTATTGAACACTCATCTGCAAAGTAGAATTCCTGCTTCCCTGCTGTTAGGGACCTCTCCAGAGTACTGAAAAGCAACGATGTCAGTCTGGAGACTAAGGTGTGCCTGATCCAGGCCATAGTGTTTGCAATTGCATGCTATGCATCAGAAAGCTGGACAAGGACTAGGGATGATAGAAGGAGAATTGATGCCTTTGAGCTGTGATGCTGGTGAAGAGTATTGAAAGTACCATGGACTGCTAGAAGAACAAATAGGTTTGTCCTAGAGAGAATGAAAGCAGGCAAGACTTCTGAGGCTTCGTCTGACATAATTTGGACATGTTGCAAGGCAGGACCAGTCCTTGGTGAAGGACGTCATGCTTGGGAGGGAGGAGGGACAGCACAAGAGAGGAAGACCCTCAATGAGATAGACTGATTCAGTGACTGGGGTAATGGGATATGTGTGCCAGAGACAATAAGATTGGCATAGAATAGAGCCAGGTTTGGGGTCTCTATGAGTAGCAGGTGACAAGATGGCACATAACAACATTTTACAGAAAGAAAAATTCTGGTTCAAAAATAGATGTGACAACCTGAAATCTAGGGCCAGCAGGACAAGACAATGAAACTCTGCTCCCACACCACTTTTGTTCCACTCCTCTCAGCTAACGAGGAAGGCTTAATACTAATCCTAACATTTTTTCCTAGTTGATGACTTCAGACAAATCATGTGAACTCTGAGCCTGATTCTAAACACTTTACAGAAGTCAAGTGTTATTATTATCATCTCTTCAGGTAAGGAAATGGAGAGTTACGGATGATACTTACACAGGACACAAAGTTGGTAGAAGCCTCCAAAACCCACTACTGCCCAGATCATTCCAATTCATAGTCACCCAGTAGGGCAGAGCAGAACTACATCAGCAGTTGACAGTTCCAAAGTCACACATTTTACTGAAGTAGACATCCTCATCTTTGTCCCTTGGGGTGACTGGTTGATTTAAGCCCTGCAGATCTTTTGGTTAGTAGCTGAATGCCTTAAGTATAGAGCCAGGAGAGCTCCTTGAACTGATATCCAGAGAAGCCCAAACCCGCTGCTCTGCTATCAATTCTATTTCGACACGGGTTCCTGAGGCTGTAAATCTTCAAGGGAGCCAATTATCTCCAGGTCAGTGTGGACTAAATGGTTTCTCCTCTGTACCCTAACCCTCACAGTGCCAAATATGCAAGCAGTCCGTCCGATTACCACTAATTCTCATTCAAAAATGAGTGGCCATATCTCCAGATGCCCTTTGGGCCCACAGCCATCCAGCCTGCCGGCCACTCCATCACATGAGCCGCACTATCTTTAGCCAGGCAGATATTTATATCCCCCAGGGGAAGTATTTTCTCTGTTGGGGAGCCCCAGAGTCTGCAGCTGGTGACTTCAGGCTCCCAACAGAGGCCTCTTGCCATGCCACCGAACTCGGCGGCACCCGTCCAGGTCTGGGTGGGCGGCCAGCTCTTCCAGGCCGACCGAGCCTTGTTGGTGGAGCACTGCGGGTTCTTCCGTGGCCTCTTTCGCTCGGGCATGCGGGAGGCGCGGGAGGCCGAAGTGCGACTAGGTGCGCTGAGCGCCGCCGGCTTCCACATGACTCTGCAGGTGCTGCGCGGCGAGCGGCCGGCGCTCCTGGAAGACGAAGCGCTGCTGCAGGCGGTGGAGTGCGCGGCCTTCCTGCAGGCTCCGGCGCTGGCGCGCTTCCTGGAACACAGCCTCACGTCCGACAACTGCGCGTTGCTATGCGACGCAGCTGCCGCCTTTGGCTTGCACGACGTGTTTCGAAGCGCCGCGCTTTTCATCCGCGATGGTGCGCGCGAGCTGGCGGCCGCGCTGGTGCTGCCAGAAGCCCGCGCCTACGTGGCGGCGCTGCAGCCCAGCAGCTACGTGGCCCTGAGCACGCACACGCCCGCGCCGGGCTTTCTGGAGGATGCGTCGCGCACGATGTGTTACCTGGACGAGGAAGAGGACGCGTGGCGCACGCTGGCCTCCCTGCCCCTGGAGGCGAGCACGCTGCTGGCCGGCGTGGCCACCCTGGGCAACAAGCTTTACATCGTGGGAGGCGTGCGTGGTGCCAGCAAAGAGGTGGTAGAGCTGGGCTTCTGCTACGACCCGGAAGGCGGCACTTGGTGCCAATTTCCCAGCCCGCACCAGCCGCGCTACGATGTGGCGCTGGCCGGCTTTGAAGGCCACCTCTACGCCATCGGCGGCGAGTTCCAGAGGACACCCATGAGCTCCGTGGAGCGCTACGACCCGGCAGCAGGCTGCTGGAGCTTCGTGTCCCACCTGCCGCAGCCCGCTGCCGGCGTCCCGTGCGCCCAGGCGTGCGGCCGACTCTTCGTGTGCCTTTGGCGACCGGCTGACACCACGGCCGTGGTGGAGTACGTCTCCCGGGACGATTCCTGGTTGCCTGTGGCCGAGCTGCGGCGCCCGCAGAGCTACGGCCACTGCATGGTGGCCCATCGCGACAGTCTTTACGTGGTGCGCAACGGACCTTCAGACGATTTCCTGCATTGTGCCATCGACTGCCTCAACCTGCTAACGGGTCAGTGGACGGCGCTGCCCGGCCAGTTCGTAAACAGCAAGGGGGCTCTTTTCACGGCCGTAGTGCGAGGCGACACGGTCTATACAGTCAATCGCATGTTCACGTTGCTGTATGCCATCGAAGGCGGTACCTGGCGGTTGCTCAGAGAAAAGGCCGGCTTTCCCCGGCCTGGCTCCTTGCAGACCTTTCTCCTGAGGCTGCCTCCTGGTCCCCTAGGGCCTGTAGCTACAACGACACCAGAACTATGACCCCAGGGCTTTAGGATGTGGACAGCACTGAGTCTTACTGAAGCCGAGACTGAGTCTGTAAAGCTGGAACTTCTTTCTTCTTGCAGATTGAGGCATACCTGACACCAGAGTTTGAACTCTCAAGTTGTTTGTACTCTGCTGAGAGCTGGTGGGTGTCAATGGCCATGAAAGTGCTTTGTGGAGTGACAGGATTCAAATAAATCCAGGCTGTGGGTGAATGTGGCCAGTAACTTGAGCATGTCTACAAGTGGGTCAAGTGAAGTTAAGTAGCCAAGAAGTAAGCCCAGCGAAAGAAAGACCCCCAACACGATGTATTGACATGGTGACTGCAGCAGTGGGCTCAGGTGTATCAGAGATGAGGCAGATGTCATGGAATAGGACAGGGTTCAGGTCTTTTTGTTCACAGGGTCGCTATAAGTCATACAAGACTCCGTGGCACCTAACAACAATAGCCCAGCACAGTGCTAGACCTAATGTGTGCTTCTTGAGGCTTCTACTCTAGCTGGGGGGGGGGGGGCAAATGCTCAATCCTAACATTTAAGGGACAAGGAAAGTTTTACACATGCATGTCTTGATCTGCAAAATGTTGAAGGTAATGTGGTAAATAACAGGGATAGGGTTTGGGGAGGAATCCATAGTACTAAAGAAATCGAGGCAAAGTAAAATGAAGAGAGGCAAAGTAAAATGAAGGTTACTCCAGAAAGGAGGAGGGTATACAAACTATACAGAAGAGACAAGAAACAACTAGGTGCTAAATGGGAAGGTTCAGTCTACAGGAATCCTGAGAGCTCAGAAGATGAGAGATGGGGATGGCTGGAGCTATGGGAAGGGTCTCTGTGCCCCCCAGCCTAAAAGCAGAACAGTGGCAGATGGAAGCATGTGGCAAGGAGGCTGAAACTGGAGGGGATAGCAGATAATAATGCAGCTTGGAGTGTGGCCTGATAGGGTTTCTCCACAGTCCCTTCTGAGAATAGAGACCCTTGGCAGAAAAGCCAGCTGTAAGCCCCTTCCAGCTTCATTTTTTGCTGTCACCCCAGGGATGGGTGACCTCTGTGACTTTACTTCCCAATGGTTGGCTAACCTCTGTGAGTTCATCACACTCATGGTGTGAGTCTAAATCTTACCAGGTCTTCCCACCTCCTTCTGCTTGTTTGTGGTCACTCCCCCTGCTTCATCTGCTCCTCCAGGTCTCTGCTCCTGCCATTTTTCCTCTTCCTCTGTATGCGCCTCCTCCTGCTCCGTGGGGTTGGCTGATCCAGCTCTCTGTCCTCCTCCTCTTGGCTGCATGCCTTGCTCTGTGGACCCCTCGCTCTGACATCTTTCTCTGTGCATGTATATGTTGTGTGCCTGGACACATAAAGACGTTGTAAGGGCAGAGATCCTGTTATGCTATTTAATGAATGGAGCACTTTCCAACTGCAGAACAAAATAACGGAATTTCAGAAGAACCTAAGAACCACTAGTGAGGCACCTGGTGCTGGGTGAGGACTCTTGTGTAGCATGCCTCAGCCCTGGCTTCTTCCCAGGTATCTGCCCCAGCCAGGCAGCCTCTCCAGGCCCTGGTAGAATCCATTGTGTGGTCTGTAGCCCATAGAGACAACCCACCCACTGCTATCAAGTTGATTCTGCCTCATGGCAACTCTGCATCAGTTTCTGAGAGAGTCTTTACAGATAGTGAGCGCCCATTTCCTGTAGAGCAGTTGATGGATTGGAACCATTGACCTTTCAGTTAGGAGCCCAGCTCATAACATACTGCTTCACAAAGACTGAGAGAGGCCCATGGGAACTCCTGGCCTCAGGAGTAGAGACTGCAATGTTGGTATGGCACATACTGAGCCAGAAGTCTGGTGTTAAGTCTGCCCCCAGTTGCCTCTTCCCCTAGCTTGGCTGACCTCTGCCCCACATTTTGGAGAATATTGTCCTCAGAAGCTGGCGAATCTCTGGCTTCCAAGTTGCCTCGTCTGATGACTCATAACAATAAACCCTGACTTTTGTATCCTGTGATTGGAGTGCAAAGTACTTTCACACTTGTCTTCCCACTCCAGCCCCACCACACATCTGGGAGTCGGTATCCTCTCCCTGTGGCAGATGGATGGGCTATGGGAGCTGAGGGGCCGAGCGCCTGGCCCAGAGCCACACAGCATGGCAGAGCCCCTCACTTTTTATTTGTGACAGTCATTTTTTAAAAGTTAAAGTAGATTCAAGCAAACAAAATCATCTTGTGTCATTAGTCATTACTGAGTTAAATCACTAATGCATGAACCAGAGGAATGTTAAAATTCATTCAAAAGCGCATTTGAGAAATTTCTATAATTAGTTGGAAAAGTGCCAGAATAAGTTTGCTAAAATAGAAACAAGTTAATGCTTCACAGGACAGTCCTTTGCCTTTTTGCCAGATTAAAAAAAAAATCTATATACATGAACATATAAACTTCACAAAGTCTGGAAGTAAATTAATAATAAATTGACAATCAAATGTGCATTCCCTTCACCCACACTCACTCACAGCCATTGAGTTGCATTTGAGTCATAACTGACCCACCCGTGGCTTTTCAGAGTCTGTAAATTTCACGGGAAGAGACTGCCCATCTTTCTCCCTCAGAGCTCCTGGTGGATTCGAACTGCTTGCCTCTGGGTTGACAGCCTTACCCACTATGAATAACTCAGGGAAGTCATTAAGCATTACTGCAGAAGAATGCTATTAAAAGGACACGTTGTTGTTGTTATGTGCCGTCGAGTCGCCTGCGACTCATAGCGACCCTATGTACAACAGCCCTAAACTCCTCTCTGTCCTGTGCCAATCGCACTGTCTCTGACACTCCCATCCCAATTATCCCAGTCACTGAATCAATCCACTTCATAGAGGGCCTTCCTCTCCTGC